CTTTATTTTGAAAATCGGAAGTGAGTACGCGGTTTCTCCGCAATTACCATAATGCTGAGAATGTAACACTTAGTAACACAAAGTATCGTTATCTCGAGATCTCGAGATAATTAACTCGTTATCACGGGAAAACGAAGGAAATAAAATGTATGAATACATGGCCCTTTAGGGCTTCCGTGCAAATCATAGAAGCTGCAATTTTTAATAAAGCTAATGTGTGACAAGAAGCATTATAAAGTACTGTAGTTCTGCAGAGATGCCCCGGCCTACAATTGTTCTCCAGATGTAAGACAAGATTTTTGTTTGGTACAGAGCCTGAAAAAAAAAGAACACATCAGGAGTTTTCTTTGAGAACATTAATTTGTGATGGATTATTTCCAAACTAATTGTGAATCATATTGCAGTCGCCATGTCAAAATAACCCAATATGAGGTTTGTTTTTTTAAAGAAATAGATACACCCACAAATATTATTTTTTTCTCTTTAAACAGCAAAAAACATTTTCAATGCGAATAAAATTCAGTAACTACCACAACACACACACAACACTATCAGCCATCAGAAAGGTACAGGGTATACAATCGGCGGTAGCTCTATAAGCAGATAGGATAACAAATATCTGGATTTACTAGTTTCTCTATCAATTTTAACTATTTCCGTAGGTTAAGGTTACCAACTTGTCAACTCCATTTTAGTAAAACACATGGACACAGTTGAAATCTAAAGATTTATTTGTTATACTTTATGCTCAGACAATCAGAAAATGACATCTCCTTTTCTTTTCACTGTCTTCTAATCTATTAAGTGATAATATAAACACCTAATGCAAAACCTATCTAAGTTAAAGGTGGTGAAGCCTGCATCGTGGTGGTTCTCAGAGACGACCTCAATGCAGGCAGCACGACAGTACTGAACCATGGTTTAGTGAAATGAATCCCGGTGTCCTCTGTATCCTCTGTGCCGCTACTCTACGTTCAGCCTGGAATGTGTTTAGTGTTGGTGTACAGACAAGCCATCCCATCTTCAAACATGTCAGCAAGAGCAGACATGTACCAGTCTGATAATGTTTATGTTAAGGACTCAAGGCCCTTGTATTATTTTTTTCATTGATTTTTTTTACCTATAAAATTTTTTAGATCTAGCACTGTGATTAGCAGGACATTAATTGTCAGAGCTTTCCACCAAACAAACAATTACTGTTGTCTGATCCTCTATTAGTACTATTCTTTAACATTGTGTGAGTGGAACAACTGTAGTGAACAAATTTACTCCCAGGGATCAATAAAGTATTTCTGATTCTGATTCCGATTCCAACTCAAATAATTTGGTTAAGGCTAAGGACAGAATGTGTCAACCCACAATTCATAGCAACCTCCTCTGCCATTGTTCCTGAAAGACAGCGGCCACAATATGCACAGGCACTACGGGTCAGTTTAAGAGGCGTCAGTATGCTACAAACCAAGTGCTTGTTGATAACCTAACAGCGCCTGAAACCTTTTCCACATCATAACGAGGGAGGGGAAGCTGTGTCCAAGGACTTTTGTACATTTTCAAAACAGAATCACAGCAACTGGCCAGGTGTGGAGTAAAAAAGTAAAGAATGTACTACTTCTGTAACGTTGACAGTGTGTGCAGTTATCTACATCTGTACGAGTATTTCAGACAACAGAACAGTTTTTGGAACGAGATCAGGAAGGCAAGGAAGGAAAAACAGCCATTTTTTTCATATGAATTCTGAGCAGTTGCCAGGAGTCGCCCTTTTACACACGTAGCACACCAGGAGATTGTTCTCACCTACTGGAAATACTCGGCCAGGGGCGGTGCCTGGGTAAATGGTAATGATTACCGTTTCTGCGTTGATATCGATACTACAATATACAGACTAGGAGATAAAGAGTATGAAGCAGCAAGCATGCAACATCATCATGCCCACTCGCTCGTGGCAAATTTTGCAGACAATGACCGTCTCTATTCACACATCTGCTCACCTAGTACAAGTTTGTACTAGGGAGCTAGCAGGGTAAAGTCCACTCCAGCTGTTTTGTGGACATTTGTGCCCACAGCTCGTCCAGGTAATGCCACAGGGTTGTAATGTAAGCCCTATGTGGGGGTGGGTCATTCTGCTAATTGGAAAATAATGACGAATGTCTGTCATCCTTTCCAGAGCCCACAACGATGTGTTCAAATTGCATTTTTTAGTCTGATACGAGGGCGACAAAGGCATTTGATTTACAATGATAGAAAAGAAAAGCAGCCACCATCACACTGCAAAAGTTGGAACCAGTAGGTGTTTGGTGTTGCTCGTGATAATTCTGCATCACTCAGAAGAGGAACATCAATTTGGAATGGTTAGTGAGGATGCTTTCAGGTGAAACACTCAGAGTGAGTATCCACAGTGCCAAAGTGTTGTCTGTACATTCCAACACGCAACTGTGGAATTCCTTTAGACTGAGGCCCAGATTAATGAACGGTGAAAACATTCCAGACTGAAGAGGCAGTGACAGCGTTGGAACACAACAAATAACAGCGTGAACTGGTACTTGTTGCTCTAGACATTGATGTGCTGTGAGCTAATCTCCTATATTGAGCTAATCTGAGCTACAAAGTACATGTGCTTCTTCTGACAAAAATAAAACTCTACACAGACATTTTCTCTGCAGTTAGATGGACAGTCACCTGTCCCTTCTCTGAGGTAGTAAATAAGTAGAAATATCATTAAAGGCAAGTATAGAGAACAATGTTTGACCCTGGAATACACCACTAGGACTTGTGTGTATCCGGTCCTTCAAAGTTGAATTCTGACAAAATTCCCCATTCTTCAACAGTGGCGAAAAAACAAAAACAAAAACTGCCTAATTGTTACAGGTTAACACTATTTCTAATGATTTTTGCAGAAAGATACATGACAAGGTAGAGGTAGAAAGTTTGACTGAATTATAATGTCAATGTCTGCCGCTAGATTAAGAAATTAGATTCATAAAATCTACCTTTATAGTTTCAATCTAATGGCACAAGTAAGAGCCAAAATAACTAGAAAGCAAATACAAATAAAAACAGAAATCCACAGTTCTCCATGTTTGAGGTACAGATCCTTTTCTAGAAATGTTGTAAGTGCTTAAACCCAGTCAAGAGATTACACACTCTTTGAGAGGCACAACAGTAGCATTTTAAGACATTGGTGCAACACTTGGGAGGCTGGTTACAATGCTAGAGAAGTCCTTCAACATAAAGTTCATGGAATTAAGGCAGGAGAGAGCATCAGATGATGCTCTCTCTCCAAGTATCTTCTTTCCAAAATCACATCACTCACTTGCAACATCCAGCTGGAGGGCTCCTCCATCTCCACTACACTTGACCAATTTCTTGAGTGGAGCATCCATTACAGAAAGGCAGCTTGATTAGGATCTGGGATTCTTGAATCTTGACAGCTCCTCTCCATCTTTCCTGAGCCCCTGCAGCCCAGAGGAGGCCAGGATGTGGGGGTGGGGGTCGTGGGGGTCGTTTTTTTTTTAACTTCTAATTACATCAGAAACTTCCAAAACCAAAACCAAGGAATGGGTGCTGATACCAACAGTGACATAGTAAAAGGTAGAAAATGGGTACAAGTGCCCTGGAAGGCCTTTGTAGAATTAATGCTGCATTCCATTCAGCAATTCACAACAGGCAGGTCACAGCTACAACGTGCTGAGATCCAGTGGTCCAGTTTGAAAAGAACAAAACAGGGAGCACTTTGAAACTTCCTATTGCCTAAATTACAATGCCCCAGGTCACGTCATGTAGCCAGGGTTGCCACCTGCCACTGAGGAAAATATGAATAGGGGGGAAGAGGGCTGATGACCAGAATGATACATTCCTTATTGTGACAAGGTGTGAGCATACAGGTGAATTTGAAATGGACGATTACTGAAGGTTAGGGTTTAGTTTTATGCTACACAACTGGCTGTCTTGTAACAGTTCAGGAGAATGATTTTTTGATATGTGGACATTTTATGTCTGTAAGGATGTAAGGACTGTATAAACTCCGCCACACGTCCAGGACTATCAGTGCCACAGTTCTGAATGACCAGGCAGGTTCAAAGTTTCTTTGTTATTGCCATAGCATATTTTACATGTGGGTTCTGTGGGATTGTTATTGGGCTAATTCCTATAAAGCTAGGAAAAAAATATGCGCTTTTATGTTTTTTAAAAAGGAACAGGCAGCAACCCTGAGATCTGTGAAGTGGTTAGCACAGAGTGTCTGCAAGTGTACATTTCACAGTTTTGTTTGACCTTTTAACACAGCCGAATCAACAGATTTAAAAGCCATACAACAAACAGATGCTGCCAGTACTCTGAGGCCCCGCTCAGACAGAGAGGCACAGGACTTGCTGAAAATGTAATTTTTTTTTTTTTTACCCAGGATGGTGAAAACATGACCTGCCATACTCTGCCTCTGATTGGCTTACCCTGATATTCTTACTTAACCCTAACCAATCTCACTCCTCATGGTTAAAACCGAACCAACCAAACCAATGAAGGTAACAAGTACTAGCCAATCAGAGCCAGTGTCATGACTTTCTGGAAAAAGAAAATTGACTTCCTGTAGATATTCTACATGCTAGGCTTGTCTAGGTTTAAAAAACAACCACAGTTTGAAGAGGGTTAAAAGATAAACATTTCATATATGTAGTTCCACCTTAAGTTAACTAATGTTAGCAAAACACTAGCTAGCTAATCTACATCAATTGTTAGCTAGTTAATTTGCTAAAGTTTTTACTAACATTAGCCAACTTAAGATCTGACTATGTGTATTTTATTTTATTTTTTGGATTGTCTTAGACATAGATTAGCCTAGCACATAACATATCTAAACACAGGAAAGGATCATTTTGACCGAGGTTCTGACCGAGGTTTGCTCAACTGTTATTGGAGCAGAGCAAAAATGGGCGGGACTTAGGAAGGGTCCATTGAAAAGTTGGCAGGAATTTCAGGCCGATTCACCCATGGGTTGCCAGTTGCAGGAATTCCATTAAGTGTATCACAAACAGAACTATTTTAAATATTACAGTAAATGCATATGTATTGGATTAGATGGAGTTCAAGACCATTTCGTCTAAGCAACACTTCTATGTCTGAACGGTACCTACTGTGTTCTAGAGCAATAACATTCCACCTTATGGGATTTGGCATACCTTGCCATGTTGAAAATGAAATCTAAGTGCATTTTAATCTAATGATACTACATAATACAGCAAAAAAGTAGCATTAGAGTTTGTGTCACCATGCTGATGTTACCTTGGATAACTATCTGAAAATCCTCCGGCCTTCCAATGTGGAATTCTTACTTGAAGAGCTGCGCTTTGTCCAATAAAAGGACATAAAAATGTCAGAATCTGATTTTACTCAATTGCTTTTGCAGTTCAATTCCTGTAACAGTCACATTGTTATTTACTGGCTGTTCACCAACTTATAATAGATGTATGAGTTTACAGTATCCTTAAAATTAAGTGCAGCCTATCTTCACAGTAACCTAACAGTTAGTGACTGCCCTTATTGACACTTAAAAAGGCCAAATTCTTAAAGGCCTAATTCTAAATTCGAGAGAAGAGGGTTCAATTTATACCACCTGAAATGGTTGATAGGTAAAAATCTGGTTTTTAGTAAGTGCTGATTCACTTACTGTAGACACATCTGTTGGCGTAATGCTGGACGACAAGCTCTTGACTGCATATTTTCAGGGGTTAACCACCAGATATCATATCCAGGTAGTGATGTTGAATTTGTATTTGCAATTTTCTTTTTGTGCATGTACTCAGTAACAGAGTACATCTTGAGCCAACTTTTTCCTTGCTCTTTAAGGCTGTTTATGCTCTAATATTCTAAAATAAGAAAATCTCAAGTTAGGTCCAGCAAGGAAGGGGACATTTTTTTTTTTAAACATAATACATTACGGGGTAAAATATTCCCTAACACTGTAGCATTTTCCATTATAATCTATATCTGGATGACTCTCTGCAATGTGCAGCACCTGTGACAAGTATTAAGTGCATCCACTGTTGGTAACAGGTCTGATAAAAAAAAATTAAAAAAAGTACTTCTCTATTTTGGTTGTAGTGAGATCATCTACATTTCCTCAAAGGTTCAAGCTTCCTTTTTAAATAATGAGGTAATACTGATGAGGTGATTTGTTGTGTTCAACAAATAACTAAGATTAGCATAATTAGAACTGACAGACTAAAGTTACACATTTGTTTTTCAATAAAGATGCCGTTCTCATGTTTTACCCTTTTCATGAAAAATCCATCGCTCGTGTGAAGGCCACATTTGTGGGGACAGAGCTGCTTACTGCTGAAAGGCCTGGTAGTAGTGAGGTAGGGAGCTGGAAGTGCTCATAGCAGAACTGCTGTATGCCTGAGGTAGCTGGCTGTGGTTGTGGGCTCCGGGGCCCTGGGGTACATGAGCCTGGGGAGGCTGGAAGAAGGTAAAAGGCCCTGGAGCCTGGGAGGACAGCCCAGTGGAAGAGGATGGAGAGGAATTAGTGGTGGTGGCAGGTGGATAGCTCATCACTAACCCTCCCATTCCCATGTGTGGGCTGTAGGGCGGCAGGCTGAAAGGCAAAAAGCCCAGCAGAGGCCCGAGGTCCATGTTAGTGGTGCAGGACAGCTCGGTTGAGGAGATAGCCGGGCTCCTGGACAGCAGGTGGGGGTCACTGCCAGCACCCACCCCTTCACCCAGACCCTCCCTCTGAGGGGAGGCAGAGGTAGAGGTAGAGGAGTTGGCCACACTCAGGTGAGGTGGGGGGGCGCTCTGCAGGTCCAGCAAGAAACTGTCCACGTCAGCACGAGGATATGAGGTAGATCCATGCTGGTACCTGGCCATGTTGCTGTAGGGCTGCTGCTGCGGAGCTGGCGGGGGCTGTAGGTGATGGTGGTGAGGGTGAGAAGATTGGGGGGCCATGTGGCGACCCACACCCATGCTTGAGGACAAGGAGCCTTGCATGAGGCCATGAGTGTGGCTCAACCCGGGGACAGGATTGGCCATGGAGTAGGAGTTGTACATGTCCCTGGAGTAAGTCTCCATAGGCTCTTTAGAGACAGAGCCCATATCAGAGGGCACAGGGCTGGGCTCCTCCTTCACCGGGCACTGGGGGGCAGGGGTCGGTGTAGCTACAGGAGTGCTGGGTGTACAGGGTGGCATCAACCCTGACTCCTGGGCATGGCTTTTCTTCAAGTGGCGGGTCAGGTGGTCTCTGCGGCCAAAGCGTTGTGCACAGCGTGGGCACAGGAAGTCACGGCGGCCAGTATGCACGACAGCATGACGCCGTACATCCTTACGAGTATAAAAACGGCGGTCGCATCTCTCACATGAGTACTTCCTCTCTCTGACTGGTACGGCAGCATTAGTGTTTCCCTCAGACGGCGGAGGCCTGTCGATATGGCTGCCCAGGTGCTCCAGCAAGGAGGGTGTCCCCTCTGGGCAGGGCAGGCCCGCTGCAGCACTGTGGGCCGCCACTAGGTGGCGTCTATAGCCCAGCTGGGTGTTGTACTGCTTCCCACACTCCTGGCAGTGGAAGAGCTGCCTGCTGGCTGCGTGGCTCTCCTGCAGCTGGCTCTTCAGATGGTCCTGCTGGTGGAACATGGTCTAACAGAAGGAACAGTACTGGCTCTGCTGCCGCACAGGAACTCTGGCCAAGAGCCTGAGCAGACACAGACAAGACTCATGAGGATTCTCCAGAGCGCTGACCATCAGCCTACACACCTCTGGTCGTTTTGTTAACTTAGAGTGCTAGAATTAATGCTAAGTGCTGTTTGTTGACTGTCTGATGGTCTCTTACGGCAATGACTAGTGGTCTGTCCTGCCTTACTGAGGCAAGCCTGTGTCCGGCACTTGGTCTCGGTGACAGCAGCTGCCATAGCAACCCCAAAAGGGCTGCGGTGATGAGGAGCTTTGGAAGCTCTGACTGGGTCTGTGTTTCCTGAGAAGAGCTCTTGTGTTGGCCTGTAGTCTATTTTAGTATTCAGCAGCCCTGAACGCCACAGTCACAGCAGCTGAATCACAGAGACAGCTCAACATCCTTACAGACCTGCAAAACAACAAAAAAACTGCTTCACTTTGTGTGAATGACACATTGTAGCTTAAATGATATGGAGCAGTAAGAAGCATGCTTGATGTGCTGACATTATTAACAAATAACTACATATAGGCAAAACATAATTTACACATTTTACTTCACAAGTCCATGGATTAGAGGCAATAGATATTCGACTTGCTTGTCCCCCATGAGCCTGTAACCTGAGATCCCTAGTTTGGGAGACTCCTGTTGGTTCCTAAGTCCTGCTTCGTGACTGAAGGTGACCGAGCTTTTGCAACATTTCCTACTCCCTACCTAAGGATCTCAGGCTAGCAACTTTAGTTTTTCAAAACATTTTTTATTTAAAAGCCTTCTTATAGTGAACATTGTATTTATTTTGTTTTACCACTTTTTGTTTGTCCTATTGTTATGTAACCCTGCATCCTTTTACTGTTTTAACCAAATCACCTGGCTGCTATTATTAGGCCGATATGAACCTTTTTTTTTTTTTTTTCCCAGGATATAATGCAGAAAAGAGAGTTGGCTGTGATTTACAATACTGTGGCAAGCAGCAGAGTTTGGAGAGAAGAAGCAGCTCTCAGCAGTATCAACTAGAACTGGTTGCCAAAGTATATGATAAATTACTTAACATGTTAAGGACCAGACAATGAAATATTCTTTAATACAGCTATTTGCTCTGCAGAGTCCCATCAGTGCACAAATAGTCCAAACAGAAAACATTGTTTTTATTGCTCTATGTTCTGGAGGCAACTTATCACAGTCTTCTTTAATATCAGCACATCATTTACAATTAGCTTATTGTGTTATCACAGTCTTATTGGTTTGTGCTGATTTATTATTATTTTGTGTTTATGCCAACACCTAATAACTGGAAATGAAAAGACTTTGAAAGAAATATAAACTGCCAACCGGCCTGATGGTGGACACCATTGTAGCTGCAAATAAAGCCAACACAAGTAACAAAAACTGCAGTTTCTCTAACACACACATAAGGCTGGCTCTAGATGTGAGTCAACATCCATAAGGCCCTATATTGAAACTTTAAAAGCAGAAATAAACATATTTATAGCCTGCTGGAAAAAAAAGTTTTGGTCTCTATAGCTAATTTCCCCATTCATGACAACTGTAGTGATTTTTATATAACTCACTCGTTTAAATTATTTTAAGGTTTAAAGTTATGCATAAAGAAGGGCGTTGTGGCTTTGAGTGACAGGTGGGTGCCGTCACAACAGGCAACTGTTTTCAGTAACCAGGCTTTATTGGGCCGGCCCAGCTCCAACCGTGCTCCACCTTTCTGCCCAGGTTTGGATTAGCCAGGAGCCAGTGGAGTAAGGACTGTCAAGATGGCAACAGCCAGAGCCTATGCGTGACATCACAGAGATATTTATACAATCAACAAATAGGGTATACAGCCTTGCTGGATTGAAATAAACCAACGCACGACAATTGAGAAGATGGGTCCAAAAACATGGCCACTATCAATGGAAAAACTTGGCAAAGTTCAGGGCTTTGCAGGAAATTGACCATAACTCACTGACCACTTCTCCAATCATCAGAAATCTTAGCAGATACCTTTAATTGTTTGGAAATGCATGCTAAGCATTTTGAACCCAACCCATAGGAGATGCAACAAATGTATATCATTCTCATATCATTATCACACTGATCATTAAATTATCAATCCAGATTAAAGTCCCACTCATTAATTAGTGTTACTCACTCACCGCTGCAGAACATACGACATATTTCAGCACAACAATGCTAATTTACATAATACTGGGAGAAAAGATTTTTATCTTAAACGCCCTCCACTACTTTATTCATTTATATTTATCTACAAAAAAAAAAACACGCACTGGGGAATGTTGATGCTTAACACCATTTATAAACAATAATGATAATTAAATAAATCAATGGTGTTTTACCAAGTTAGTTCAGATCCAGACTAACCCTTAAAGCACCAAATTTACAAATAACACAAAGTAACCGATTGAGGCAGTGGTAGACCAGCAACTCATGTCTTCTGCGAGGTAAAATTACTGTTTTTGTCAATGGTGTCCAGTGACTGAACAGCCTGGGAACCAACAAGAGCTGTGAGCTTATGTTTTATTTGCTCTGGCCACATTAAAATCTTTTAAAAAGACATTTACTCCATTCACCTCATTAAATTAGGGATAGACATATCATTTCTATATTATATATTGTTATTTTTCAAATACGATTGCAGATAAAGTGATTGCAGATAAAATACGTTAATTTAAAAACGTGCTACTTTGGCCACAGCACTATTTGACTGGTTACACATTAAGAGTAATAGTAGAGGATGAATAATGTTGATTAGTTCTCTTCTTCTCAGATATTTTAAAAGTAGCAAAAGCATAATGTAAGAAGACCTGTATAAAAGCTTACTTAAGGAAAACTACAAAGTATCAGCATTCAAATATACTTTTAGGACCAAAAGTACAAGTGCAGAATAGACAATTTCAGAATAATGTGGAACATATTACTCTTACACTATTATACTGTTGGGTAGCTTGAAAACAATATATCACTGATTACTAATAAATGTTTTCAGAATCGGCCCTGGAAAAAAAAAAAAAAAAAAAACGTAATTCGATCCCTATTAAAAACTCCAAAGCTCTGCTAATGTTAGGGCTGGGCGATATGGCTTTAAAATAAAATCTCCGATTTTTTCACACCAAACCCGATTTACGATTTTAATCGATTTTTTTGTAGACTGTTTTTTAGCGGGTGTTTGTGGGCTGCGGTCCTGTATATCTCGCAGAGAGCAACATTTCTCCCACTCGGCTGCATGCCTCTGCTTGAGGTGC